CTCCCCCCCCCGCTCGACAGAAATGGTCACAACGCAATGGCGTGCCCTGCTCACCAAGCAAACTGCGATAGGGTCATATTGATCGGAAGTTGGCAAAATGCCAGGTCAGGACCACCGCCGCGCCACGCGAACAGGTCGCCGCGCGCGGTGACCTAGTTTCGAGCGCGGCGGTGACTCCTGGCCGTCTCCCGCGTGCCGGAGCCGATCAATACAGGCATAGTCGACTGCCCAAAGTCGACCATGCATCGATTGTGTAAGGAGCAATGCAATAAACCTATAAACATGGCATAACGAGGTACAGGAAACAGCGGGACCTTATGAGCACCTGGAAATCCATTTTTTTCATTTAGCTCCGCATTTTTTGTATTTTTCATGTTTCGCTTTGTTGTGTCGTGCATGTTTTCATGATTTCCCCGTCACCATTCATTGAATGCACATCTGGGGCCTGACACGCTGACCTTGGGGCTATTTTTTCACCAATTTAGCTTATCAATGATCACCATTAGTCGCTGTTTCGATTGTGTTCCTTGTTACAAGTTGCATGTCATACATGGTTGTCGAACGACGAGTTTTATTTTGAATCCTAAGACAAAATTGTAGGCTGTTGTTCAGCCTCATATTGCATGAGGCTGAAACAGCCTATTATTGCCTGGATTAGAGCAGAGTCCGCCTTTCGAAAATCCAGATTCCATTTCAGGAAGCCATTTGGTGTGAACATGCATCTGGTTGTCAGTTAGAGCAGGAGGGGGGGGTCGTAACTGGACCCTCTTCGAGGGGGGGGTCGTACTCACACCGCCATTTCGCACATCCCCATGCTGTACCCTGTGTGCGTAGTCCCAACACTCCCACCGCAATGATTTTCTTTAAATACCACGAGATTATTTGCAGGCGATCTGCGAGATAAAAATGTATTCTCTGAAATCGTAGAGTAACCTATGCTGTCCCACTTTCCAAGTTGCTTCACAGGACAAGCAACATCCAAATAAAGCGACTGTTCCGATTGAAAATCAAATGTTGTGGGCATCCTACAGAGGGATTGATTGATCGCTTTCTTCCGTTGCCCTTGACTTCAGGTACTTTACTACTGGTCAACGATCGACAGTCGTTGAAACAAGTTCACTGAGAAGGAGCTTCAGTGGAATAATTATTGTAGTGTTAGGAAAAAATTATGAAAGGTGAACAGTTTATTTCGAGAAAACCGCGTTTTTCGAACACTGAGGAACTCCTCTAAACTGCGCGGTACTCCAACTTCGTGACAGTGGCGTAGATTCGGTTGTAGGTTATTATAGGAACAGTGCTCAAGGTCGAATTGAGTATGGTGTTTGCGTCGTCTTTTGAGCAGAATCTAAATAGTATTCTTGCCTATGATTATGCTTACAAAAGCTCTATACCCTTATATGGGCGTAACTTCATACCTGTAACCCGTGCGACGTTGGTCTTCATGTGTTTTGATTTCAACTCCAGCATACGTGCATCCATCGACGGCAATTCCATCAGTGAAGTTTACGAATTTCACTTGCACCGTTTTACCGAATGGGGCCTTGAGATGCAACCTTCGAGTCTGTTCACTTTAATTATTTGCTTGCCGTCGCGTACCTTGATCCAGTAGTGGCATTTCATAAAGTCCTCACGCGGCAAACCGCCGGCTGCCCGATTGCCTAGGTCGTCGACGAGCGGTGTCCAATCTTTGGTCGCATACAATTCGCGACCGCAATCTTGTGGCTAAATGAAGCTTTCGAAGATAGTTGCAAGTTCGATTTGCAAAATGAACGCTACCTTTTTCTCGCAGAACTGGCCACCGTATCCGCTAGGACAGATACATCTGGAACAATCACGAGGATGAGCGAATCCGTGATTCTGGCACCGCGTGTATTTACCTTTGCAAGCGTCTGAAACACTACTGTTCATAAGCATTACGACGTAACAACCCTCCAAAGTGCTACTTACCAGTGCAGTTGTAGTGTGTGTTGAGCATGAGAAGATCGTAGAACGAAATGAAAGGAGATCCCAAGGTCTGTGTATATTGCACGTCCTTTGGCACCATGGTAGGCAGCTTGTTTCTGGTAGCGCTGGAAAAGCGCATTTATTCCCTTCAACGCTAGAATTATGCGTTCATCAGCGTCCCACCTTGTGGCTCCGTAGTGCATCAGGCTACCGTAGTCATATGTCAAATCATAATTGTTATTGGTTGCCGGCGTCTCCAGTGTGAATTGGTCTAGCCAGTCAGGCTGAAGTAGTTAGTGATATTATCAAGCTTTTCCAGCAATACAAAACTTACCTTGATATTTTCTTTGTCAACTGTGATGAACCGATCGCGATCATGTCGCGAGTGCGTGTGGAAGAATCCAAGGGCATGACCCAGCTCGTGGGCAGCGGTTCCGATCTGAAGCATGGAAGAGAACATAACTGCATCATAAGGGCTTTACAAGAAAATGACGTTCTTTTTTGCTGGACTCATTTTTCTGTGGGCACCGTGAGTCTAGAAGGAAGATTTATTAAAACATACCGAGTCACAGCCTTCGCCAAGTGAGAGGTTTTGTACGCCTCCAAGTCTGCCAACGAAAGACCAACATCCATCTTCCATAAACACACGAATGCTGTCCTGAGCTGAAATTTCGGCGTCCAGTGGTATCTTACCATCATCGACAACTATTCCAACTTCACCGGAATCACAAGAATGCTGAGTTGTGGGCAAAAGTCGGACCACGGACGGGATCCCGTCCGTGACTCTGCCCACAACTCAGCATTCTTGTGATAACTTTCGTATCGCGCACTGCGGCGTTAAACAGCAGTTATCAAACAATAACAGCTTAAAATTACCGGAATCGCTTTGTGTGAAGTTGATGCAGGTATTATCCATCCATTCACGCGCCGCTTTCTTGAATACACTCTTAACCTTTTCACCTGCAAGTAGTAAGCTAATTGTTGCCAATATTTTTTGCGTTCATGAACGAGAAGACTACGGGCAGCTGACTTGCACTTTTGTCGAAAAAGTAGTTGACTCCTTTCGTCCATCTTCTACCAGGGTAATCTTTATCATTGTAAGTCTGCCGTTTGGTACGAGTTCCACTAACATCCGCAGCAATTTGATCTTGTTGTTCCCTTAATACGCTTCATGTTGTCCTTGTCAAGAAATCGAAGAAGTGGAGGTACAAACTTCGAAAGAACCATATCTCCCTGGAAGAGTGCTCCTGCAATTTGACTTCTCAAGTTGATCTCTTCAATGGAGTCCCCAGCTGGTGAGACTTGATCGATAGTTTTCCTTTTGAACATCTAAAGTATCCATGATTAACATTCATGAAACAGTAAAAGTACAAGTTTCACCTTCAGCCTTTCCACAAGCTCCTTTCTTTGCTCTGGGCTCAGAGTAAGCTTCTTCAAAATTGCGTCTTTGTATCCGCTCAACTTTTTCCGGAATTCGAGCATGTTACCATTGAAAACCTACATATATTTACAAGGAGCTATGCTGAGTTCTCACAGAGTGTCAGAAACATAATACCTCCTTGATGCGATCCATTGTCTTTTTTATCTTGGATGTCACTTTTTCTTTGATTAGACCCTTGAGGCTTCCGACCGCAAGCGTCTTTTTGAGGTCCAACAAGTCGGCGCTCACGCAGACAGCCACCAGCAAAGCGAGTATGAGAAGCCTCATCCTGCAATGTAGAGCTGAGAAATTCTTGGTGGAGTCAAAATGTAAGAATGTTATGTTTGATGGAGGATGCTGCTCTGTTCTTTCCACTGTATTTATACGGTACATTCAGATCTCAGAGTTGACATAACGGGAAGGTGTTCTGTGACGAGGTATATCGGGACATCAGGAGAAAAACTACTGCCGCAGCTGCTCTGGCTTATGCCATGGAGTTACAATTTGGTTATAGGATCACTTTGAGCAGCTTTTGTCTACAAGAATAGCCAGCAGATAGAGATACGAAATATGGGTGCGGATCCCGGATGGAGTATTTTTGGAGGCATTTTAGGCTATACTTGTAGTTTTTGAGCATAGAATGCAGAGTTAAGCAGCGAACGCAACGAACACTTCATTCGCTCCGATCACCTTTTCTCTCTGGTTTCTCGCGAGTTGATAGCCTAATATGGCTAGTGACGAAAATGGAAGCATCTGTAGCTTTTTCCATGTTCGTGGTTTACTCTGCAGTGAAGTCGTATTGATATATGAACCACTTTAGGTTATTCAACGCTCACATACAATACTAAGTAACCTATGGATCATTTTGCGTCCGAATAGGGCGCAGCATTCGATCAACTTCCAGTGTCATACTTTCCTCTATGTGGCGAGGAACACAGGTGTCTCACTATCACACAAGCGATTGTGCACACAAGTGATTGCGTGGGAGATTGTATGGCATTTCATATAGACATCATGTTTGTGCAAGAAAGTTCCTTCATCCAATCGATGGCAATCGTTCCCTGCTGACTGAAAGCTACAGATGCTTCCATTTTCGTCACTAGCAATATTAGCTATCAACTCGCTAGAAACCCAGAGAGAAAAGGTAATCGAGCAAAATTGGATGTGTTCAGTTGGGGTTCGCTGCCACTGTAAGCATTCGACGTCCAAAAACACATGGGGAAGTATCGTCTAAGCCTCTAAAAATACTCCATACCGGGATTCCGCAACCGCATAATTTTCGTATCTCTATTTGCTGGCTATGTCTTGTAACAAAAGCTGCTCAAAGTGACTTCTATAAAACCAAATTGTAACTCGCATGCAAATAGCCAAGCAGCTGTCTGCGCAGTAGTTTTTTCTCACTGATGTCCTGATATACCTCGTCACAGAACACCTTCCCGTTATGTCAACTCTGAGATCTGAATGTACCGTATAAATACAGTGGAAAGAACAGAGCAGCATCCTCCATCAAACACAACATCATAACCTCCTGACTTATACTAAGAATGTTCTCAGCTCTTCAATTTGCAGTAATGAAGGATTCATCATCACTCGCTTTGCTGGTGGCTGTGTGCGTGAGCGCCGACTTTTTCGACCTCAAAAAGTCTCTTGCGGTCGGAAGCCTCAAGGGTCTAAATCAAGAAAAAGTGCCATCGATAGATAAAAAGACATATTGGATGCATCCCCCCAAAGGAGGTAATTATTTTTCCTGACATTTCTAAGAGAACTCAGCATAGCTCCTTATAACTATATGTAGGTTTTCAATGGTAACATGCTCGAATTCCGGAAAAAGTTGAGCGGATACAAAGACGCAATTTTGAAGAAGCTTACTCTGAGCCCAGAGCAAAGAAAGGAGCTTGTGGAAAGGCTGAAGGTGAAACTTTACGCTTTTACTGTTTCATGAATGTTAATCATGGATACTTTAGATGTTCAAAAGGAAAACTATCGATCAAGTCTCACCAGCTGGGGACTCCATTGAAGAGATTAACTTGAGAAGTCAAATTGCAGGAGCACTCTTCCAGGGAGATATGGTCCTTTCAAAGTTTGTACCTCCACTTCTTCGATTTCTGCAAGGACAGCATGAAAGCGTATTAGGAAACAACAAATCAAATTGCTGGCGAATATTAGTGGGAAACTCGTGACGCAAAGCGGAGAACCTTCAATGATAAACATTACGCCTGCCGTAGAAGATGGACAAAGAGTCAACTCCTTGTCGACAAAAAGTGCAAGTCAGCAGCTGCCCTGTAGTTTTCTCGTTCATGAACGCAAAAAAAATATTGGCAACAATTAGCTTACTACTTGCAGGTGAAAAGGTTAAGAGTGTATTCAAGAAAGCGGCGCGTGAATGGATGGATAATACCTGCATCAACTTCACACAAAGCGATTCCGGTAAATTTTAAGCTGTTATTGTTTGGATAACTGCTGTTTTACATGCCCGCATCGCGCGATACGAAAAGTTATCACGCAGAATCTAGATTGTGGGCAGAGTCACGGACGGGATCCCGTCCGTGGTCCGACTTTTGCCCACAACTCAGCATTCTTGTGATTCCGGATGAAGTTGGAATAGTTGTCGATGATGGTAAGATACCACTGGACGCCGAAATTTCAGCTCAGGACAGCATTCGTGTGTTTATGGAAGATGGATGTTGGTCTTTCGTTGGCAGACTTGGAGGCATACAAAACCTCTCACTTGGCGAAGGCTGTGACTCGGTATGTTTTAATAAATCTTCCTTCTAGACTCACGGTGCCCACAGAAAAA